AAAGACATATTTCAAGAAGTGTATGCCCTTCCTCCCACTCTACCCCTGCACTTTGTGCCCTCTTCTTTCCTCTCTTTTCCCACCAACCCCTAGAATTAAGTAGTCTCAGTGTTTTCTGGTTTATCTTTCCCATATTCCTATTTCACAAATGAGAAGATTCATGGTTGTTTTTTTTTTTAAGATTTTATTTATTTATTTTTAGAGAGGGAAAGAGAGGGAGAAAGAGAGGGAGAGAAATATCAATGCGTGGTTGCATTTTGCCCACCCCCTGCAGGGGACCTGGCCTGCAACCCAGGCATGTGCCCTACACTGGGAATCGAACCAGCAGCCCTTTGGTTCGCAGGCTAGTGCTCAATCCACTGAGCCACACCAGCCAGGGCAGGATTCATGTTTCTTTTACTGTATTCCCTTTTATATGGTGGTAGCACACCATATAAGCTCTTTTGCACTTTGCTTTCTTCACTGGATGTTTTGGAAGTTCCTAGTGATCCACCCCCATTTTTTTTTTTTTTTTTAGCTACTTAGTGTTCAATTGTGAGGATGTAGCATAGCTTATTTAACCACCCTCCTATTATGGGCATTAAGGCTGTTTTTAGTATTTTGCAAGTACAATCAATGCTTCAATGAACAAATATATATATACACACACACACACATATATGTAATTTTGTTTAATTAGAAGTGTATTTTTTGGGTAGATTCCTACATGGGATTTCTTAGTCAAAATTAAGTGCATGTGTGCTCATGTCTTTCAGTCACTCTTATGTGACTATGGAAATGTCTTTTAGTGGGTTAATCTAGATCCTTTCTTAATCATCCTATAAGTTACTGAATCACAGCTTTTAATTTGTGTAACTTTTTAAAATTTAACTTTATTAGTTGCACTTAGTACATAAAAAAGTATATTAAAATTGCATGGGGATTAGGAAGTAGCCTTGCATAATTTATCCCTTTTCAAGGCTCAATAAATATCATTGTAATGTGTCAACAGCCTCTAATGAAGGTAGTAGTCACATATACATTTACAGCCCTATCATCCCAGGTTCAGTCTACAGGGTCAGTGAACACCCATGGAAAGTGGGCAGTTCAAGAACTCTAGCAGTGACACAATGACTAAGTCCTTATATAATGCTCTCATTTGCCCAGAGCTTTTCATTTTTCAAAACTCTTTCAAGTCTTTTCATTTTATATCAGTTGCACTACCGTAGAATGCTTTGGGGCAATAGCAAATAAATCATGACATTTATGTAGTGCAAAGTGCCTTACATGTATTATCTCATTTGAGCCTCAGATGAACACTGTGAAGTAGTCAGGACATGAAGTCAACATCCCTATTGTACAGGTGAGGAAGCTGAGACTCAGAAATGTTAAATGTCATCCTTAGGTTGAACATCTACTGCATTGTAAGGCTACAAGAGAATTTGAAACCTCGTTACACATTTCACAGCTAGTTCATGAGCAACAGTGAAAAAATATCCAAAGACAGGATATAGTCAGAGAGAGGTAAATTACTCAGTATGTATTTTAGAATTTAAAATTTCTTTTGGAATCTTATGGTCACTGAAGAAATAATACTTGTCTGCCTATAACCTGCAATGTTTCACTCCAGAATTGTGGTAAAAGGAAATACATCCTCAACACACATAGTCTCCTCTCCCACCCTGGCTGCTGCTACTGTTAGTAGAATGAGCACTGGCTTCGGAACAAAACAAACTATCTGAGTGTGCACACTGGCTCTGCCACTGATTAGGGATGAGGCCTAGGTGAGGTATTTAACCTCAGGTTTTTTAACCTCTAGAATGGATATGTAAAAATAACTTAATCAGAAACACTTTCCTCAGTACTCCCCATTTAAATGTTATTTTTACAGCCATCAGTCCATTATGTTCAGAGCACTTGCTACAATTTAGAATTACATATACTTTGTCTGTTTCACATCCATTTTACCTGTTAGAATATAAACTTCATGACATGGAGGACCCTTCTTATTTTTGCTACTCTTTGTATCTCTTATGCCTACCCCAGTGCTACTAACCATGAATAAATATTGCCTGGAATAAATCTTGCCACTTCCTTGCGCTTGTTTTTATTGCAGGCACAAGGAAAGACCTGCAGCTCCCCTGTTCTTTCACATCTCTCTACCCGGACACATGCTTTTCCTTAGACCTACATACTTGCCCTCATTCCTTTGTTTTTCTGGAGAACCCTCACTCATCCCTCAAAACATAGTTTAGCTCTTCACGAGGCTCCCATGATATCTCTCCCGGTCTACAGAGTAAGGGGCTCTCAGGACCACTGGGCATGCCTCTGTAATTGAGCTAAACATATTAAAGCCATTAATGTGCTCAACTGATATAAGAACCACCTCTGAACCGGGCACACACTGAATGCTGGATATACAGCACTGAATAGGAGCTGTCATTCTAATGGCGTAGGTGGGCCACAAAAAAGTAAATAAATAAATAGCATTTCTAATAGCAGTAATAAGTGATAGGGTGATCCATTCTGAGACGCTGACCTTTCACTTGAGATCTGAAAAGTGAAAGGAGTTAGGCATGGGAAGAGATTTGTGCATTGTGACTGTTTACTCGGTGGTTTCTCATATCCATCCAACCCTCACACCCCGCCCCCCACACCCACTCATCTGGCCCCTGAACTCTGGGACTCATTCTGCCCCCGTACCCAGCCCGGGCCCCATGTGTCACACACACCACAGTTCCACATGCTGGCAGTACAGCGAATTAGAGTTGCCGGGTGCCTGGCCCCATGATTCTGATTTAGTAGGTCTCATGTGCATTCAAGGCTGAGAGCCAGCCCTCAGCTTATTCTCCACTCCCCCACTTACTATCTTGTTATACTGGGAGTGTAATTCAGTATTTCTGTGCTTCGGTTTCCTGATCTTTAATATGGAAATAACAATAAGACTTAATAACGTTGCTGTGAGTATTACATGAGATAATGTACCTAAAATTCTTAGCCCAGTAACTAGTACATGGATAGTCAATAAATATTGGAGAGAATGCTGTAGAATGAGTGCTTCTGAGGTGTTCGTTGAATAAAGGAATGAGTTAAGCAATAATAATGTTCAATTCTTTAATAAATAGAACACCTGATTTATCTTCAGGTGTCTTATTTACTGTTTATTTTAATTTGGACAAAAAGAAAACACTGAACACCAGTGATTTTGGCAACTAGAATAAATAGCTATTCACTTGTCATTTGCTTATAGAGCTGCCTCTGAAAACTCAGATAATTTGGTTTACCTTTTCCTAGCTAGTACTGGACTTTCATGTTCTAGCCTCAAACCTCAATAAAAGTACACAGTCTACTGACCAGGGGCCAACCTGTAACTTGTGCTTTGTGGTCCTTTGAAATCACAGTTTGAATACTTTGTATTGAAAGAAATTTCTTTTATGTATGTTCTACTTAATTCATCATAGGAGATCCTCAGGACATTATAACCAATGAAAGTTATGACAATACCAAAGATGACAACAATTTTCTTAGATCAGGGACACCAATGGGTTTAACCTGAGGTGATACTTCTACTGCATGAAAATATCGTTTCACCCCTTCAGCAAACCTTTAGCAGATCCTCCCACCCCCGCCCCCGCCTTGCCCTGCCTTACCTTCTGGGAAAACTAGATACCAAAATAGCATGTGCAAAATGAGAGTTATCTGCAAATTGGTGGCATGAGGAACTTCCAGGAAAAAAAAATTGTTTTATTTCTTTATAACATTTTCACTGGAACATATTAGGATCATGATTATTGTTTTTTAGGCTTGAAATATCTGTCTTTGATACTTGAATGAATGAGAATGAGTTTTCTGGTAAAGAACAAATTCTGAGGTAATTAGCAAAGTGATTTTGCCAAGTGTACTTTTCTTTGAGCTGCAGGAGTTAGCATTTATTTACATGAGTAATTCACTCTGCTCATATCAGTCAAGTCAATCATTTCATCCTATGTTAGAATGAGGAAATAATTGGCGAACAATTTCTCCTTCCTTTTTAATATTTGTGGCATTGTTTTCAGGGTTTTCATTTACATACCAATGCACCATAAACATATTCTGGACTGAGTTATTGAAATCTGTTTTTCTGCTCCCCAAATGTAGAGGCATGCATGTCTGTCCAATCAGAAGTCCATAGCAAAGAGCCACATTCACTGATCGGTCACTCTGACAGGGTTGATGGGTTATGAGCAATGATAAGTAGTGCACCTCAAAGATCATGGGATAAGCGTCTGCACTTGAGTAGTGCCTCAGTGCGAACCAGACAAGAAGGCGAGAGGAACTCCCATAGTTTTCAGATAACAGGTTTCATTTTATATGTTAATAGAAGGAAGACACTGATACGATGAAGACATTCACCATAACAAATGCATTCCCTTCACTGCACTCTAGCATGGCACCAATTAAATTCAACTGTATGTATAATGTACTCTTAATTCCTAACAGTCCCAGGAAGGACTAATGTGAAAAATATTATATATTCTTACATTTTACAGATCATAAACAGATGGAAAAATTTATGCCAATTGGTAAAGAAATTCATATGCAGTATAACACACCTCAAAATGGTGTTTATGTGGGTTTTTCTTTTTAAAACATTATTGAAGTTGTCATGAGTAAAATTTAGTAACTACTTGAGGTTTTCTGTAACATTTTATGTGTAATTCATTTTAATATATTCCTTCTGCAGATATGAATGTGTGAAAGCACAGGTAACCTTGCAGTGAGTAAAACTGATAAAAGGTTGTGAGGTTGTGTTTCAATGAAAGAGATATTGTGGAATGATTATTCACTTTGTGAAAGGATTGGTCATAGAGCAAGCTTTCCTAAAGCATTTTAAATTTAATTGTTTATAAAACATTTATTTACACACCACATTTCAGGAACAAAGTTAGTGAGGAAATGGAAGAAGTAGTCGTAGTAAGAAAGGGATCCCTTACACTACTAACGTTTCTTCTTCCCTTCTTTCTCCCTGCCCCTTCTTGCAGCACTGATAGCCATTGGGCGATACAGCATGACAATAGAGACTGTGGATGTTGGATGGTGTAAAGAAATTACAGATCAAGGAGCCACCCTGATTGCGCAGAGCAGCAAGTCTCTGAGATATTTGGGGCTGATGAGATGCGATAAAGTAAGAGCTACCTTTCAAGTTTGTTTTCTACATATCAGTGTAGTTAACAGCTTGATATCATAGTCTCTCTACATATATGTATGTATGCTTATATGTATGAAGGTATATAGGTACACATGCACATTCATGTACTGTTAACAACTATATGTTGTAAGATGCCTGATTTTCTAATCCGAGATTGTATTTGTATTTCTCTGCTTAAAAATCAATTTTGTGCTTAGGCAGAAAGAAAAGGCAATCATACTTACAGTTAACTTAGATTTTAGTGTCCTACCCATAAAGTCCATGAACCAAAATTTATAATGTTTTCATGGCACACTGCAATGTAGCAGAGTCTAACAGTAAAATTCTGTTCTGGGTTCCAAGTTTCCTGCAACAGTAAGGTGGAAAGTAAGTGCCAGATTGTTTTTTTTCTCCAATTTGAAGTATGCCATGTCAGTGCTCAACATCTATGTATTCTGGTCAGTGTGGGGATGTTATGTGGGAATTTGTGTCTTTCCACACTTAACATGCCACTTTTAACATACGAGAAATAGTCCCAGAGGTCACAGTGCAGGTCTGTGGAGCTGGGCCAGAGACATGAGCATGAGTTTGGGAAATTGGGCCACATTCAGTATGGAGACTTTTGAAGATGTTTTCCCTGTAAAAAATCTAAGAAAGAGTTAGTTATACTGTGAGGGGGAGAATGTAGAGTCTCAGAAAGACCATGCACTGGCTCAAGGCCACTCATCCCAGATGTTGCCCCAGGTCTTAGGAGTTTACGGCCAATGCTTGTGGCACATCCTCAGGGCATCTCCAGGCACATGAACTGTTTCCTTGGAAAAGATCCACCTCAGATACTTGATCTGGCATCTTATAATGATTTCTGCATTTGCGCTACTTTTGCAAATGGTGACTGGGGGCATAACCTAGTAAAAGAGAGGCAAACTAAATATGTATGCCCCTCCAAGGACATGCATTTTCTAAATGTAGCAAAATTGGGGGCAAATAGAAGAATGGCCCAAATCCGTGGTGTGCTTTGTCATTTTTGTTAATTGACCTAGTTTTTTTCTCCAAATGCTTTAAAAATCCCAACTTGTACTAAGCCTCTGCCAGTTGGTTATGTTTAGAGAGATTTTATTATATAGTCTCATCCCAACCTAGAAAGCTGACTGACTTTGTTACTAAGCAACAGCACTGAGACTCAGGGGTTGCAAGTCTCCCTCAAATTTCACTACTAACTAATCTAACTCTGCTACTAACTAGGTCTCTTTAAAATGAAATTCTTTTAAAAGAAATTGAAGGGCCCACAGTTGGCAGAGTATTCTAGAAACGTTAAACAATGACAGTATATTTAAAGTTATTATTGGTAGGTACTTATTCATTTTCTCCCTTTGTACCTGTGTTCCTCTTTCTCAGTCTTTTTCTTCATCTTCTTGAAGTCCCTTTAGCATTTCTTGCAGTGCTGGTTTGTGGAGCTCTTCAGCTTCCTCCAGAAGGAACATCTCACCAAGGACACCAAAAATGTATGCCTTCAAAATGTATTATGCTATCCATCTCCAGATTTTAAATTTTTATCAAGATTCAAAGAAAGATGAGTAACAAAGAAAACCAGGGAGAGTTGCCAGTAAGGATTCTGGAGCCAGAGCTCAGGTTCAGCTTTGGTCTCAACATTTAGTTGTATCTTCTGGTACAGTTACACAACATCTTGGTGCCTCCATTTCCTTGTAAAATTAGGATGATGATAATATCTATCTTAGCGAATTGTGAGCATTTAAATGAGTGAACATAAATATATATATCAAGCCCTTAGAATAATGTGTGTTATATATAAATGCTCAGTGTTACTGATTATTCTCATTAACAATGTCATTATATTAGCTCATGGTTTAATAATCAATATACTAAATTTCCAAGTGAGAAAAAAAAAATGTATTGCCTGCAATCCCATTTTGAAAGGAAGTTAAAATGAGAGGAAAAAAAATAAACTCATTACAGGAGATTTTTGCCCTTTTACTTTTTTCTCACTTAAATTTAAAATTAAAATTCTCTTCTATACAAAGATGTCAATAATCACACTTCTACACACTTTACAAAGGAAAACTAAGGCATCCATGGGATGTGCTGTATTTGGGATCAATTTGCTAATTCAGGCATAGAGAAAAAGTGAGTTGGAGATAAGATGATTAAAATAGGTAGGAAAACAAAAAGAAAGTAATAAGAATGATAATGGAGAAAAATAGGAATAGAAACAGGAAACACAGAGAAATTTGGATTAGGATATGGAGACAAAGATTCACTATTTCAGTGTGATCAACAAAGAATTAAAGAACAAAATTAATTTGGGCCTTTCACTCCTCTCCATGCACCATAAGCAGAGAGGCTAACCACTAATAACTCATTAATTTGAGTTCTCCTTCTCCGTTCTGAGCCAAAGGATCTGGCAAGAGACCCCAGTGGTCTGCACAGTTAACCCCCGTGTCAGGACTGTGTCCCCGTGTCCCTCGACGCGGGGGAGAGAGGCTGTTTGTGACGTCTGTGTCCCAGGACTCATGTTCTGTGGCCCTGTGCTTCTGAGAAACACTGAAGGCTAGTTATATTTTCTTTCATATGCAGTCAGTTTCATTTGGGGCCATTTGTACTTAATTTGAAAGCTGTATTTTACCAAACTTCTGCTTTTTTCCTTACTTGAGCTTTGGAGAAATTGTAAGACTAAAAAGATGCATTGTATTTGTTGCAGGAAAGTGTTTTTCCTTCGTTTTTCTCATTAGGTAAACAAAGAACAGATGAGAAACATTAAACCTATTTGCAGATGAAAGCAGTATGTACTTAGATTATCAGACTATGTCAAAGCAAAACAGCAGTAGAATTTGTTTGGCTGCAACATTGGTGACTCCTAGGGAGGAGTCCTCCAGCCATTTGACAAATGCGGTATTCCCCGAGCACTTGTAAAATTAGGAAGTGCATTAAGGAAGTCCCTGTTTGAGTAGCTTTTCTGATTGCTGGATGGATAAGCATGTTAGAGGCATTACTTTGGGTTTTGAAGCCGACGCCAGTTAATCTCCTAAACTTTAGTGCATTGTAAGAACCAAGAGAAGAAAACGCTGTGTGAGACGGCTTTGATGAATTGGGGTGAACTTATATCCTTAAAGGCTGTTCAAAGGCTTACTTGACCTTGGAAATTAGAGTTGACCCGAAATCACCTATCAACTTAACACGCGTTTACTTGGTGATTTAGTAAAAACTACTTGTATAATCAATGGGACTTTCTAATAAGAGCAATATGTTTACTCTACTTTCCTTAATTATAGACAGTGGCTTTGGTTATAGAAATCATTTTCACAACTTCATTGAATTCTAGAGTCTATATAGATCTGTTTCTTCTAATAATGTATTTTCCTTGTTTCTTACAAGGCAGTTTGGATGGAGAACAAAACTGAAAAAGACAAAAAAAATTTCATGGAAAAGCTGTAGGGCAAATGGAAATGCAGTGTTCAAAGTTAATGAAAAATGTTTAGGGTAACAAGGCTGATGAAAAGGGAGGGAGCCTAGTGGCATGGCACTGGCTGAGAAACCAGACCTCGCCAGAGGCAACCTGGCTGGTTTGGGAAACCTCGGTGATAAAACGTCGTGGTGGAAACCTCTGCAGTGCATGTTAATGCAGAAGTTTGGAGACAGAGGGCCTGAATTATGAGCAGCGAATAACATCATAAATGTAGCAATTCTCATATGCCAAACCTTTGTGAAAAGCAGTTGGATGGAGAAATGCTGGAGCTTTTAAAAGCTCCCTTTCACTTACTTTTTTTTTTTTAACTTCATGCAGAACTAATTTTATACACTGTTCATTTGATTTGAAAATGCCAGCGTCTGGGTATCATTAAAGAGCGTTATTGAGGGAGCCACTCTTGGCAAAGCATTTTGCTTCAAATGCTTATTAGTTCTTACGTCCCTGAAGAGTTGTAGACAGGATGGAGAAAGTGTACCTCCATTTACCTAACTCCACTCCTCCGCCTTTGTCTGGAGCAGGTAGCTGCCCTTCTGTTGGGAGGCGATTTCTCCTTGGCCCATAAAGGCGCCAGGAGGGCTGTGGGGGCCACGTTACTTAAGGCATAGACATAAATAGATTTTGAAAGGTCCACCCCAATGTCCTATGACCAAAGCCTCTTGGAATTTCTTTGATTTCTAGTTGACATAAATTAGAATTACACAGGCGTGAAGAGTCCGCCCAGAAAAGAACAGAGAGGCTGCTGGGGGAGGAGAGGCTTCTGTGTGATCCTATTGATTATCCCGCTGCCTTCAGGCCAGGGCCTCTGCAGAGGCTGACTATTATTGATCCACACCGTGGAAATAATCAAATTAATTCATTTCTCATCAAACAGCCATTGCCAAGACCTTTCTCCTCACCTGTCCCAATTCCTGAAGTACTTAGCCGAAGAGTGAGATAGGTGATTTTTCTAATGAGAAATTCTTTCTTGAGGTCATAGGAAATCTTTGTTTTCGCACAAGTTCCTCATTTAAATGGTGGAGATATTTTGTTTAGTTAAGTCCATGAGAAGCCAGTACAGAAAACAAGTAATAGAAACCAGTCAGCTTTTTAAAGCCAGGAATCTGCTTTACAACCTTAAAATACCAAGGGCCAAGTTTTGTGTGCTCAATTTAATGTAAAAATATTCAGGAAAAATTGACCACTGCATTTTTCAGGAAGTAATTATGGTAAGAGAAAGCCTCAACAATCTAAATATTTCTGCAGAGAAAATGGAGTTTTTATCAGCTTGTTTAGGAATCATAAGCAGGAAAGCCCTATGGGGAAAATAATATAGGACTCTGTAACTAATATACAGAACTAACTGGGAAAATCAGTTTAAGGAAAAATAATTTGTGGGGCACTGTGTCCAGGACTGTTTTGGTAGCAATTCAGCCATGAAACAAAGTGTATACCTGCAGGGACTCCCCTCTCCCCCGCAACGCAGGCGCAGCTGTTTCCAGATTGCCCATAGGCAGAATTTAAGGCTGAAAATTTA